GTAGTAGTAGTAGTAGTAGTAGTAGTAGTAGTAGTAGTAGTAGTAGTAGTAGTAGTAGTAGTAGTAGTAGTAGTAGTTGTAGTAGTAGGGATCAATTATAGTCACTTCAGCAGCTCTCCTCACACAAATCTCAAAGACTGGTCTGGAGCGTCTGCAAAACGCAAAATACAACTAGATGCAGAGTCATTGGCTTGTAATTGAATGGTATATAAATAATTGTTGGACTGAACTGCCCACTCAGATATCATTGACTGCTTCTAGCAAAAGGTAAACAGGGATGAAGTGACAAAAAGTTATTCCAAGTCTCTAATCTCATATTTAATATGTATATTATCCGTTAAGTTCACTGGACGCTGTACATCAACTGAGTTAGCACTTAGTTCAAGACCCCAGCAAAGATAGATAGCATACCGTTCAATAAGATGCGCACCAGAAGCCGTCTCCACAATACCGCTAACCTGGCCCGGTTGCAAGGCAAAAGCCGCATCTTCGAATTCCTTCTGCATCTCGCCACGTCCGAAGAAGCCCCTGCAGAACAATTAGTCCCATCGCTAAAACCCCAAATTTTCGCAAGTCCGAAACATACAGGTCGCCCCTCTTCCGGGCACTGCTGCAATCCGATTCCGACATCGCAATATCTCCCAAGGTCGCTTCGCCCGACTGAATGCGCTGCTCATGACCCTGCAGGATCTCAATAGCCTCCTCCTTGGACCGAGTAATCTCCGCCTCGCGCCAGCTGCTAGGTCGTCTGCTGTCTCTGTGCTTCACGAGAAGATGGCTGCAGCGGATCTTCCCTTCGCCCTGGCCTAAACCGTCAGGCCGACCGGCGGGGCCGCTGTGGTAGTTCGCCATGTAGACTTTGAGGGTTTCGGTGTCCGTGCCGGCGGGCGGTTCCCAGCGAGACTCTTTAATCGAGGGGTTGAAGTAGTAAGGGAGGTTCTTGGAGTTCGAGTGGCGGACCTCCCATCCGGCTGGAAGACCTGTCTCTACCTAGATCAAGCTCCATGAATAAGCATTGTTCAGTTTCATAGAACAGCGGGAACACAAACCATGGTAGTGATGATGATGTGAGTACAAAGGAACGGGGAAACAAAGAAAGGTGACAGAGTGCAGACAGGATGCAACTGCAAGGGTCTACCAACATGCAGTGAGTTCTATGAGGAATGCGAAACGCCAAGAGGGAAAAAGAAACACGAGCATGGAGAAGAATTGCGGGGGAGGGACAGACTGCCCAGTGCCAACCATGCAAACAGGGCCAACAGCGCAAACATCCCCGTGATGAGGCCCGTCGCCGCCCTCGTGCCCGATGAGGCTTAGCGTGCGGACTTCTTTGACCTTCCATCGCTTCTCTGGCAGCGCCGCCTCTTGCCTCTTCTTTTGTTGTACGGAGTACAATTTACATTTTGCCTTTTGCCTTTTGCCTTTTGCCCGATTCCCCATCTCACTTCCTCAAATCAATCTTTCAGAACTCCGTGAAATGTCTGCCAGCCCATCTCCGTCTGCCGGTGGCGACACAAAGGCCGCCGAGCAAGTTCATTTCCGATTCTGTCGCGAATGGTGCGTATCTCCCATCTCGAATTCTCACCTTACACCGGATCTCTTACTGACGTCTCTCAGCTCCAACTTACTCTACCCGAAAGAAGACCGCGTCAACAACCAGTTGATGTTCACATGCCGAACCTGCCACGTCGGAGAGCCCGCCACCTCGTACTGCGTCTACCAGAACAAGCTGAACACCCAAGTCGGAGACACCGCCGGTGTGACTCAGGATGTGGGATCTGATCCTACGGTTTGTCTCCCTGGTTTCTGCACCCACTGCGGAGAAGAGATCACATGTTTTGTCTGCGGAGAGGCCCCTGAAGATGCGTGATTTGAAGATGACCAGGAGGAGGTTTTGCCGGCTTAAAAGGAGCGGGGCAAGCCCGATGTCGCGTCATGGAGACAATTGCTTGCAATTTCCGTGGCTAACATGCTCTTTTTTCTTCGACTTTAGCTTCCCCGGTCCAATAAGGAATGCCCGACCTGCCACGAAAAAGAAGCGGTCTTCTTCCAGTCCCAGCAGCGATCTGCGGAAACCGGAATGGTGAGTTTCCCTGTGCCGAGTCAATAAATGATCAACCCGACTAACATATAGTCTAGAAACTTTACTACGTTTGCTGTTCCTGCGGTAATGTCTTCGTTTGATTCTTGATGTCTTATCACCGTCGTGATGTCCGATACCCAATTTTATCTTGTTGCATAGTCCTGGAGTTTATCTTATGGCGATTGAAAGTTTTGCAGGGGTCAAGGGGAAAAGAAAATATTTCTATTGATACAGACTAGATATGTGTAATAAACGATTCGCTTTCATGGGGGATATTTATACATGCATCGGCGCCAACGACAAAATCTTAGACCACTGCTTTCCTCGTAGTTCCGTAGCCACGACTCCTGTCAACCGGTCAGTAACGGTTAATATATATCAAGAGAGGAAATGGTTGTGCATTCACTGACCGTTCATTCGCGTTCCAATCGGGTCACCAGATTTGTTTACCAACACACAGGCGTTGTCGTCAAACTTGACCAGGGAGCCATCGGATCGTTGCATCTCCTTGGCTGCTCGGACGATCACGGCATGCCGAATATCTCCTCGACGGACCTTGTTCGCAATACCACTGCTCTGCGCGGCGTCGGGACCGAAGTTTCGTTGTTTCTGGACCACCACCACGATTTTATCGCCTGGAACACCGACACGAGTGAATGATTAGAAGGCACTAGTGTCTCAAATGGTTCGACCGAAGATACACACCAACAGTGGCAGCTCGCTCCTTCTTCAGGACATTCACGCATTCGACAACCGCAGCACCGGAGTTGTCGATACAGTTTAGCAACGTCTGGACGACCCAATCCGTCAGTGAAAACCAAAGCAATAGGAGATCAAAAATAGCCCATTGAAACCATACCTTGAGTTGAATCATCTTGATCGCATGACGTGGTAAGGAATCGCCGGGAAGATTGCGCTGGGTGAGCCGGAAAGAAAAGCAGCAGAAAGGCGGACGGGACAGGTTTCGCCGAGCGCCGACCCCAGACAGAGGCGCTGCGGCCGCTCATCCTCTGCACTGCGCCTTGGGATATATCTGCTTCCTCGCAGTCGTGCGCGCTAATTTCCCTCAGGGGGTCTTTCTTTCTTTTCTGTCGCTCTCCTTCTCGCTCCCCCTCTTTTCTTTTCTTTTTTCGTTCCATAATGTTACGTGGCCTGACCCTGCTTGTTCCAGTTCTTGTCTAGCTGGTCGTTCACATTCCTTTTTTGGGGTCCCTTTCTCTAAGTATTTTCCGATAGATTGAGCCCTTCTGCGGCCCTGCTCTTCCGCCTAATTTCCTCCCTTTTACACATAGATCCGTCATCTGCAGTCCGGGCAATTTGGACGATTGGGCCCGACAGAAACCGAACAACCAGTGAATGAGGAACCTGACACGAGAGTGAAGAGTGACATGCCGTCTTCAAAAGCGAGAAATAGTCCGTCTGAGCGGCGCGACCGTCTTACGCTTGCGAAGTTGGCTAGCTACGACGACGTTGCGACCGATGCGCTGGTGGATCGGGTATGTTATCCAATGTGTTATGAATATTCACCAGGTCTGACGGATCACGAGGACAGGCCTACTTCTGGACGAACACTCGCAAGAATCGAACTAAATACAACCCCATCCGCGGGATCGTCGAAGACGATATCGCCCACATCATCCTTCACGATGTCATTGTCGCCAAGGACACCGTGAAGGCGGAACGGCAGCTACTGTCCACTTCCGGTCTCAAGAAGTATCTGGCGAAGCTCTCAAACGACCGCGAGAAAGAATGGTTTCGTCGACACCTACGCAAGTACATTCAGATGTACCTCCCGGACTCGCCATTCGAGGTCATGACCACCAATCGCTACACGATCACCGAGCACGAAGCGGCCATATGCGCCCGCAAGTTCATCAAGCAGGGCGAGGAGATCAAGTATCTCGGCGGGACGCTGGTCCCCGTCACTCGCGAGGAAGAGCAGGATTTGGATTTGAAGAGAAAGGATTTTAGTATCGTCATGTCGAGCCGACGGAAAACACCCTCCTTCTTCCTGGGACCGGCTCGGTTTGCTAATCATGACTGCAATGCGAACGGGCGACTGGTCACCCGTGGTTCCGAGGGCATGTTGGTGATGGCTACGCGCGATATTTACACCGGAGAAGAAATTACGGTATCTTACGGCGACGATTACTTTGGGATTGACAACTGCGAATGTCTCTGTCTGACGTGCGAGCGAGCCGTACGCAATGGGTGGGCGCCGCATGTCGATTCGGAGGACTCGAGCCCCGCGTCGACGCCAGCCTTGCCCGACGACGCGCTATCGTTGGACAGCCACTGCTCGCCCAGGAAACGCAAGCAGGGGGCCGACCCGGACCCGGACACCTCGCCTTCGTCCACCCCTCGCAAGCGTGCCAAATTCATGCCACAAAGTTCCAAATTGCGATCCGAGGTGTCGCTGACTGAAATCACCACTACGGTAGAGTCGACGTCGGATCAATCTCAGAATGGCGTCGCGCTGCCTTGTTCCACGGAAGTACCATCAGCACTGCCACCTGTCGAAGTCGCGGCAGAGTCCACAACCGTTATGAAAATCGTTTCGGAACACAAAATCAATGTAGAAACCACCCGATTGCCTCCGCCCCCTGCCGTGGTCGGTTGTGAATCGCCTTCGTCCTCGCTGGAGGCCAGCGAATCGCACGGCTCCTCGACTTCAACAACCGCCACGTCGGTGTGTGAGGTCAAGATCAAAGTGGAGGAAACCATTGAAGTTTCGCCTCGCGAACCGAACGACCCGATGCCGATGTCGACGCCGACGGCGACTGTTGAGCCCGGTCCGGAGCTACCCGAAAAGGAGCGGCTGCGAAGGGGCAGCGACAACGACGCACTGTCCGATCTGTCCGACTCGCTGGAGCTCGACGAAAAGCTGGGCACCGTGGTCGAGCGGACGAGAGGCTCTCGAGGCTCTCGAGGTAGGCACGCCGTCGTTCCGTCCGTGGAGGCCGATTCACGCCGAGCCCGCGTTCCTGGTGACTACACCAAAACCTCCAAGTTACTCGCACAGGCCTACGATCGGTGGGTAGACTGCCATACATGCAATGCATGGTTTGTACAACCCAACTCCTACCTCACCCGCCGAGAATGTCCCCGTTGTGAGCGCCACTCGATGCTATATGGGTTCCGCTGGCCCAAGACCGAGCGTGAGGGACCGTCCGATGACGAGGAGCGCGTGCTGGATCATCGCACCGTGCATCGATTTCTTTACCCTGATGAAGAGGCGCGCGTCTCCCGCAAGGACCGTGGAGTGAGCTTTGGAATCACCCCGACGCCGGAGCTGTCAGAGCCTCGCACGGAAACCGAGGACAGCGAGGCATGCGAGGAGCAACAGCGCCGCAACACTCGGGCCAGCCGACGGCGGACTCGTTCGCTTCGCATGACCATGTAACGTAACGATTTTCTCACCCTGTATCATCGGTTGGATTTTCTTTTCTTTTTTTTTTTTTTTTTTTTTTTTGTTTCGTACGTAATGCCGGGCTCTCGGGCGGGCTAGGAGTTTGGAAGAAGGGAGCATTCTATAGGGGTTTTGTCTCATTTTTACACCTTCACCATTTTGTTCTTTGTACACTTTGGAAGGCGTTTCTTGTGCTCGGGTTGGGTTTTGGATGTCGTTGGTTGGCATGGTTGCGAAGGGAGTAATAAATGTGGGTCGATCACTTTTTTTTCCATACTTTCTGGTCCTTTCCTGGGTATCCTGCATATAGAGCGCTCCGCTCATGGCAACCATGTGGTCCTGTGCCGCAAGATAAAGCGCTGCTTTACGTGCTGGCCCAAGCGGCCGTTTACACCAGGCGATTGCCTACCTGAGTACGCTTCTCCAACCTTAGACTCGGTGAGCTCCTGCAGTTCACCGGGTCCTACTCCAAGGTCTGCACCCGGTAGGGATACCCTACCGCACCGCCGCAGTAATTCCCTATCTTCTAATCCCCTTTCCCTCTTCTAAACCGCTCTATATCCCCCCCTCTTTTTCCTTTTTACGCGGCCTCGGGGCCCTAAACCGCCGGCGGCCCTTCCGCTCACGATTACTAAGGTTCTGTCCGGCTCATGACTACTTGTCTCCCGTGGGCCACTCCACGGCCCCGTGATTACCCACGCCGCCCAGCTTATATCATATGTGTAAGGTATAGGCAACACATATTAGGCCGCTCGACCATGTATACGCATGACCTGCTTTCTAGCATCCTTTCTAAAACTGTATGATAGGACAATTGGTAATTCCCCTATGTTTTTTAGGTGGATTCTTACGAGTTTCTGGCTGAGGGGGAGGAAAGAAGAAACTAGTTGAATTGTTCTGTTTTGTAGGTATTTAGAACTTTTAGCTAAGTACGTCCGTCTCCCATGCCCTAAGGGAGGCTGTAGGGAGACAGGCAACATCTGCTCTTCTACTGGACGTTCATGGCTACTACTGCCGCTGCTGCTCATGGCAACCATGTTCTTTTGGGGTATTTGTATGTGTCATAAAGAAATGCCTGTCTTTTCGCTGTTTCTCTTCCGCTTTCTGACCTCGAACCGGGCCTTCTAGGAGTGCCACCGCCTCCTCGACGCCCATGACGTGCAGCTCTGGTGGTCCCCCGGCCACATGAGGATCAAGAGCAACGAAGCCCGGCCTAATAATAAAAAATACTAAATTTAGTCTTTCCCTAAACTCAGGTCCCTGAGATATATCCTGTATGAATAGCTTGTCCTCCGATCTATATATATTAGTTTCTAATAATACTACTGTAAGTTCTGCCAAAATGATATAAAGGTTACTTACTCCTACAGAGGCAGTAAGACCCCCAAATATCTAGTTCTGTACCTAAAAGCACAGTACAGCTTTCCTAGATAGCTCATAACGGTCTTCCACTCGCTTAATAACAGTAGAGAGGTCCAAGCCTACTTATAAAGTATCAGCCCGCTATAGGGGTTCCGCCCAGTCCCGTTGAACGTGAACGTTAAACAATACTACTATTAGTACCAGTACGACTACTCCCCCGCTTTCTGCATCCCCACATTCTCTCCTTCTGTCATCCTTCACGATGGGAAATATATAACTGCACCAATCGCAGTCCTCGCTTGACTGGACCGATGGAATCTCAATTTAAATCTCGGTCAGTATCATCCCGATCCCCAGACTTGATGTTAATTGATTTAACTTATAAAATCATGGGCATTGGCCTTCCCTGTCATGCCCCACGGGGTGAAGATCGTCCGTTATAACCATGTGGCTCTTCGCCTTCCTTCTGCAGGCGCTCAGCTTGCTCTGCGTCAGTTCACTTGCAATTGCCTACAATGATCCCTTGATCCGTCTAGACTATGGAGCCTTCCAAGGCAAATACGATGCAACCTACAACCTTTCATACTTCCGCAAGATCCCATATGCCAGCCCTCCGACGGGAATAAACCGCTTTCGAGCGCCTCAGCCACCCCACCGCATATCCAATGGTGTTTACAACACAGACCAAGATTTTGACATGTGCCCTCAGCGCACCGTCAACGGCTCCGAAGACTGTCTCTACCTCGGTCTCTTCTCGCGGCCCTGGAATCCTACATCCTCAGCGCGCAGACCCGTCCTCGTCGTCTTCTACGGCGGCGCTTTCATTCAAGGCAGCGCCTCCTTCACCCTCCCTCCATCCTCCTACCCCGTCCTCAACGTCACCAACCTCAACGACTACGTCGTCATCTACCCCAACTACCGCGTCAACGCGTTTGGCTTCCTCCCCGGAAAAGCCATCAAGGACTCGTCCACCGCCGACCTCAACCCAGGCCTCCTCGACCAGCAATACGTCTTGAAATGGGTTCAATCGCACATCCACCACTTCGGCGGCGATCCTCGCAACGTGACGATCTGGGGCCAGTCCGCCGGCGGAGGGTCCGTCGTCGCGCAAGTCCTTGCCAACGGCCGCCACGGGAACCCGAAGCTCTTCTCCAAGGCCCTCGCCAGCTCGCCCTTCTGGCCTAAAACCTACCGTTACGATGACCCCCAGGCTGAAGCTATCTACGACACCTTCGTCAACCTGACCGGCTGCGCTACCGCGAAAGACTCGCTTGCTTGCATCAAGTCCGTCGACGTCCAGACCATCCGCGACGCCAGCCTCACCATCAGCGCCTCCCATCAATGGACAACGTCCTCATACACCTGGGCACCTGTCCTCGACGGCTCGTTCCTCGTTGACTCTCTCTCCCGCGCAACCTCCACCTCACGACTCCCTACCTCCTCGATCTTCAGCATCTACAACACCCACGAGGGCGAGAACTTCCTTCCCCCCGGTCTCAGCAGCACCGCAGACTCCCAATCCAACACCACTGCATTCTCCACCTGGCTCACTGGCTTCCTCCCCGGCCTCACCCCATCAGACATCAACCGCGTCGAATCAATCTATTACCCGCCCACTGGAAACACCGAAACTCTCACAAATTATAACTCCACCCTCATCCGCGCCGGCCTCGTTTATCGGGACCTTGTTCTCGCTTGTCCGGCGTATTGGATTGCAAACGCGGCTAGTGAGAAGGGTTACTTGGCCGAGTACACGATCGCGCCGGCGAAACATGCAAGTGATACGATTTATGTATGTTCCTCTTTCTACTTCTTTCCCCTTCTCCTTTCTTTACTACTTCGCTCTGTGTGTGTGTGCGCGCTAACTGAAATAAAAAACCAAAATAGTGGAATCGTCCAAACTCCGTCCAACAAACAAATCCCTTAGTATATAACGGCTACGCAGGCGCATTCGCAAGTTTTATTCAAACGGGGGATCCGAACGCGCATAAGCTCACGGGGGAGGACGTGCCGGGGGTGTTGAAGTTGCGTGGGTCGGAGTCGGAGTTCGTGGTGAGGGAGACCGGGTTTGAGAATGTTGGGTTGACGGGGTTGAAGGAGAGGTGTGCGTTTTGGAGGAGGGTGGGGGGACGGGTTCCTGTTTAATCTTTTTGTCTTTGGTTTTCTATCTTGATGGTTGTAAGGTGTTTGTTAGGTTTGATGGGACAGGGTTGAGTGAGTGTGGTGGAGGTGAGTGGGATATATATACGATGGTTGGATTGAATGTCTATGCTGTGATATATCCGCTGGGTTCGTGGTTTATTATACAAGATGATAGATAATATACATCAATGTGATATCTGTTGTACATGAAATACATACGTAAGAGGCGTGCCCCTCTGACGCCATATGGTCTCATCCGTGCGATCTCTAAATCAAAGCCTGTCCTCGGAACATACCCTCGCGCACCTCCTTCACCACATCCTTGCGGTCCTTCTTCCCCACGAGAACGATTCCACGACCGCGCTTGCCCATCCGCCCCAGACGTCCGAGACGGTGGATAAAGTCGATCGTCGTGTGGGGAACATGGTACAGGATGACGGTCTTGACCGCGAGGGTGTCGATACCGCGGGACGCAATGTCCGTGGTGACGAGAACTTTGGTGTTGGGCAGCCGGCGGCTTCGATCCGACGTGGGGGACCGCGGCATTTCAAAGGGAATGGCGTTCTCCTCGCGGCGGCGCTTCTGAGCGAGCATGATCTCCTCCGGGCTCGGGGGCGGGGGCGTTTCGGTGAACTCGGCGAGAGTCTCCTCCTGTTGGCGGGCGCTGGAATCGCGAGAGAGCGACTGAGCGTCGATGCCCTTGGACTGGAGGAACTCGGCTACCTCGTCGGCTTCCTCGCGCTCGTTGACAAAGACCAGGATCTTCTTGACGCTCGGCTCCATGTACGATGCGAACGGTCCGACAGGCTCGCTGTCGCCGGCCTTGCCGATGGACCAGATCACGTCCGCGCAGGCCAGGCTGCGGTTGCCGCGGTAAGGATCCTTCTGGATGTCGACTACTCCGAGTTGCACGCGACGCGGGATGGCATGTAGTTGGGGCGTGGTGAGCCGCTTGATGTCCGGGTAGCGCTTCCGTAGGAGGTTATCGAGACTGCGGGGGATGGTGGCCGAGCACAGGATGAGTTTGCGCAGCGACGGTGCCGTCTTACTGATGATATCCGAGGTGGTCGGCAGGAAAGACCGGTCCATCAGCGAGTCAGCCTCGTCGAGGACCAGATGGCTGACGCGGCTGAGCACATACGGTTCGGTTTTGGCGATGGATCCGAGAAGGTGAGGGGTGGTGACGAGGATATCGATTCCATCCGGGTTGAACAGAATGCTTTTGATCCGGCGGGGCGACAGGTTTGAAGAGATCATGCCCGAGCGATACTTGACCGTGTGCGCGAATGCCTTAACTTTGACGCCCACTTGCGCCACCAGTTCAGCCGTGGGCACCAGGATGATGACACGAGGTCTGCCGGCATTCGACAGCGGAGGAAGCTCGGGCTCGATGTCAAAGGCCTGCTTCTTCAGCCGCTCCTCTCTTTCTTTCGCCTGTTTCTCCTGCTCAAGTTTCTCGGTTTCCTTATCTTGCACTTCCAGGCGCTTGACGGCATCGATCAAGGGGACCAGGTAGGCCAGGGTCTTTCCGGACCCGGTCTCCGCGGCGAGAAGGTATTGGTCATACTGCGCCTCGGGATCGTTCTTCCGTCGTGATTTGGTGCCGTCCTCCGGTTCCTTGAGAAGCTCGGGTATCGCCAAACGTTGGATCGGGGTCGGAGTGACGTCAAGTAGACCCGGTAGGGCCTGAGAAAAAATCGAATGTCGAACAACGGGCAGCAGAGGGAATTGGTCGAAACTGGTGATCTCGGCTAGCTTCGCTTTGATCGCCGTCCGACGGCCATAGGTCACGGGAGACAACGTGGTTTGCATCTTCAGGGCTTTGTATAGCGGGCTGTCGCTTTTCTGGGTCTTGCTTTCGGGCTCCCCCGAGCGTTTTACGGCGGCGGCGGATCGCGGGCGAGGAGCATCACGAAAGCGAGCCTCGGTCTGATTCATTCCGGCAAAGGGGCCACGTTTTTCGTTTCTGGATCGATCCTGTCTCAAGGAAGATTTGGCCACATCGGCAGACAGCGCTTTACGGGCAACTTCTCTGCGGCGGAGGCGACCGCCAGCCATGGTGCGAACGGACTGAGCGCCGAGGGCGGACGGAAGGAAGGCATTTCGACTCTGACAGAAAAGGCATACCGAAGGAGGCAGCTGTAGAGACAGCTTGCCGAATCGATTCATGATGCCACGGGAGGGAGGGAAGGAGGGCAGGTGGTGGATGGCAACTGAAGACGGCCAGAAAGTTGGCAGCCGAAAAGAAAAAGCGGAAAAAGTGACGCTTGGCGGGCGATCATGGCGCTAGGCCCAAGCGGGACTAAAGCGATCGGAGCCGCAGCCGCGATGGGGCCTGAGCGGGCAGGCACCCAGGCATCGAGGCCCTTGAGCGGAAGCGGTTGCTATGGAGACTCCCGCCGGCGAATGTCAACATCGTCGCTTGTCTCCATCGCCAGCTCCAGTCGCCTGGCATCCGGTTTCTACGCGCCCACGGGTTTCAACTGACACACACGCCCTGCACTTACTTAACATCCTTCCTCTTCTCTTCCCTCTTCCCGTCCCTTACGTCCCGTTCCTCGTTTGTTTCTCCCCTTTGTCTTGGTTTCCGCTCTGGTGGTGGACGGCGTGTTGTTGACCCTCCTTCCCCTTCGTTGTATTCTCATTTGCTCTTTTCCCTTTTCTTCTCTTTACCTTCTACATTCTTTCGCTTTTGTCGCACTTGTATCCTGTGAAACCAGGTACAAGCAAAGAGAGACATTCTTGACGAATCGGCCATCATTGTAGATGATCTGCCTCTTGTGACGTATCCTTTTTCTTCTGTCTGATGATCTGAACGAGCTGCTTCTTTTCCCCCTCCGCACATCCAATTCCCCCGATTGACTTTGGGGACTTCGATTCTTCGGGCATTTTTCGCATCGAATTTTCCATTCAACTTCTGTTGTTGTTGTTTGTCCCAAACAGGTAACGCGCAACATTCCAGCAAGGGGGTGGGGAGGAAGAGCCCACGGACTTCGATCCTTGTGCGATGATGAAACGAGCTGTGCTAATTATTTTCCGTCTCTAGCGGTGTGTCTTCTTTGTCTTTGTGTTTGTAAATTTCTTCTCGCCTCCAAATCTCAACATGAGTTCTGGACCCGGCCAGCGGCCATTATCAGAAGTGAGTCCCATGGCTCAAAGGAGAAATTCACCGATCTGGAATCAAACCATGAAAGTGAGCATTACTCCCCTGATGCTCGCGCGCAGGCGAAAACCATCTTGGCTAACGAAATCCACACAGGCAACGAGAAACATTGAGTCGTCGCCTTACGACGCCCCTGCTTCACCGCGTCTCTTCTGGCAAGGTCGCGAATCTGGCTCTCCTTTCCAAAGAAGCTCGGAGAATCAGGCACCTTATGACCCAGAGTCATCTTTCACTCCGTCAAAGCGGCCCTCTCTCGAGAATCTCAAGCGGCAGTCGCGCGTCAAGAACAGCCACATGTTCCGTGACCACAATCAAGAGTACGACCCCGCGCAGGTTTACGTGCCCCAGAGACCATTGTCGACAACCAAGTCGCCGCAGAAGCAATCGCAGGGAGACTATGATCCAGATGCTGCCCAGCAGATTGGGCCCCGACCACCATCGCCTAGCAAAGATCAAGTGCCCCCGGCCAAGTCTTCCTTATCTAGAGCGAGCCGCTTCGGCGTCAAAGATATGGGTTTCGATCCGGAGAACGAAATTTGGTCGGACTTCGACAATCGATACCAAAAGAGTGTCACGTTCGATGCCGCGCCACCCCAGGTAAATGAATATGAGATGACTACCCCCGACCCGTCCTCGATCGCATCGGGGTCGCGCGACGGCAGCTATGATTCTGAGGAGGACGAGGCGGATATCAGCTTCGACCGCGAATCATCCATGGACCGCGATGATAGCTTTGATGCCTCGTTGGAGGACCTCGAAAAGACCCCGGTCGTGCTCCCCGAGGATTGGCGTTACATGAGCCCAGCCAACGCGAACGAGGACTTGGTGAAAGAAGACGAGGACCCCTTCACGGAGGACGAGAGCGAGAGCGGTGATGTGCGGCCGTCATCGCGCCAGGAGTTGCCAGCAACCCATGCTCGTGTCGAGTCCATGGACTCCAACGAGGAGCGCCGACCGCTACCGCCGTTGCCCGCTGCAGGTCGGACGTCGTTCTCCCCGCGCCCCCCGTCTCCCGGTAAACTGGCCGCCGCATTTGAGCGTGGTAGTGGCAGTGGTAGTCAACGGGGTCTGCCTCCCCCTCCTGGCCCCGCTACCTACAGCAAGTCTGATATCACGGACCTGAGTCACCCTTCCATGTCGCTGGAGGACAGACTCCGATTGATGATGATTCAGGAGAATGAACGCAAAGACCACGATGAGGAGCAGCAGCCCCAAAATGAGGACGATGACGAGCGACACTCCAACGTGGTGGAGCCCCAGGCTGAACACATTGAGAGAAAGGACAATGAAAAGACCGAAAACCAGCACAACCACGAACCTGCGGCGGATGCGCCGGGGAGATACTCGCCGCCTCACATCTCTCGCGATTCAATTTTGAGGGATCTCCGGAAGAGCGAGAGCTTTATGGACGATTCGTTCGAAACGTCCTCGCAGATCGAGTCCGACAACGAACAATACATGCATTATGACCCCGACGTTGCGATTCCGTCGCTTGAAAACGATAACGATTTTGATGATGACGACGACGACACTAACAGCGTTATTGTCAAACAAGAAGAGCCAGACAATGACCTTTATGACATACCCGACTACTACGAAAATGTTCCCTCCAAGGACTCGTCCTTTAAAAGTTTGCAGGACAAGCATGTCCTTGATGACGAGAGCAAATACTCGAGTCAAACCCCTGAAGACTTCACTCAGTCACGCGGGTCGCAATCTGACGGACAGTCAACTCCCGTCCCAGGGGACCGCAACGAGCAAATTGAAGACAAGACAACGAGCCCAGAGGATCATGACTTGACCCCCAACGAGGTTGATCTCGCACCCAAGATGGCAGCTCTCCGAGAGTCTCTGCAACGACCTAGGACTCCTGAGGATCACCATGATCAGGTGTCGGAGCCATCCACCCCTGACTCTGTTATTAGACATCCCATGAACAGCGATGAGAGTGATCGCGACGTATCCCCCGCCGACGAAGCTATCCCCGACCCTGTCGCAACCATCAAGGCCCACGGAGCCGGACTCAAAACACGGCCCTCGTTGACCCCCGCCGACGTCGAATCGATGGCCGCTACCCGACGTCAAGTCAGTGGGCAACATATTCCACCGATGCCTCATCAAACCCACACCCAGCAGCAGGAACCGGATTCAGCCGAAAACAATGCCCCCTCCGACGGACTTCTCGCCGCTCCCCAAGCACCGAAGGAGGCTGCCCAGCGACAGAGTAGCCTGATGCAGTTAGATATACCGTTCAGCATCCAGGAGGAGAGCCTTGGTTTTGGCCTGGATAAAGAATTCGATCGAGTGATCGAAACCCAAAAGGTTGCGTTTGAGCTTTCCCTGTCCCAATTGTATTCTCGTGCAACGAGATTTCCCCAGGCCCAACAACCCCACGTTCCATTTGCTGACCCCCGACCCCACAAACAGAGAGGCTATCTCATGCGACAGAACACCAAGGTGATCATAGCCAGCAGTCGCCCCGAGGAAGAGCCTGCCCCTGCCCCCGCCGAAGGTCCCAGTGATCCCCGTGCCGCTAGATCCCCCGCACCCTCCCCGCGCAAAGCGAGCCAGCAGACGTGGACAACGGTCCCTTGGAATGGTCAGCCCCGGCGTTCTAGTATCCGCACTTCCTCGAGCGCCATTCGCAAGAAGCCCGTGTCAGGCCCCGTGCCTCCTCTCCCCGGGCAGCAGAGCAACGTTCAAGAGACGCCCGCCACTATCGAAGAGAGCGAGCCTGCACTAAACGGAGCCTTAGAAGACGGCGAAGAGCGCGGTCGTTTGTTTGTTAAGGTCGTCGGTCTGAAGTACCTGGATCTTCCAGTTCCGCGAGGTAGGTGTCCTCAACCCCTCGCCGTATTTACCTACTAACGCAAAGGGCAGGCGAGCGATCGTATTTTTCCCTAACATTGGACAACGGTTTGCACTGCGTGACTACAGCGTGGCTAGAACTCGGAAAGTCCGCTCCAATCGGACAGGAATTCGAACTCATCGTCCAGAATGATCTCGAATTCCAGCTTACTCTGCAGATGAAAGTCGATGACGAGCGCTTCCGCACCCCGGAACCCGCCCCGACGGCATCGCCAACCCGGCAAAAGGCATCGACTTTCAGCCGAGTCTTCGCGTCCCCCCGGAAGCGTAAGGAGCTCGAAATGAAGCAACAGCTGGCCTCGCAGCAGCAGAAGGGCAAAGATGTCAACGCCGGGGTGTGGGATCGACTAAGGAGTCTCATCGCCCGGGATGGCAGCTTTGCTCGCGCATACGTCGCCCTTAGCGACCACGAAAAATATGCTTTCGGGCGACCGTACACCGTCGATATCGCTTGCTTCAACGAATGGGCGGTTGAGGAGCAGCCGAGCAGTATCAAGAGCAAGAAGAGCACCGCCAGCTCGGCATCTCAGCGTCGACCTCCTTACAAGATCGGCAAGTTGGAACTGCAGCTACTGTTTGTTCCCCGCCCCAAGGGCACCAAGGACGATGACATGCCCAAGAGCATGAACGCTTGTATCCGGGAGATGCGCGATGCCGAAAGTGTGTCAGCTCGCAGCTACGACGGGTTCCTCTCCCAGCAGGGAGGAGATTGTCCGGTGAGTTGCTTTGCCCCTGTAACACCCTCACCCCTCAGATTGGACGTTGTGACTAACCTTTTGTGCGACACAGTATTGGCGCCGTCGTTTCTTTAAGCTTCAAGGGTCCAAACTCACCGCGTTCCACGAGACGACGCGGCAACCGCGTGCGACGATCAATTTGTCAAAAGCCGCAAAGCTTATTGACGACCGGTCCTCGTTGACCCAGAAGGAGACGACCACGCGCGGTGGTGGACGGCGCAAATCCGCCTTCGCCGAAGAAGAGGAGGGATATATGTTCGTGGAGGAGGGATTCCGGATTCGCTTCGGCAACGGCGAGGTGATCGACTTTTATGCCGACAGCGCGGCCGAAAAGGACGGATGGATGAAGGTGCTGGCCGATGCTGTTGGCAAAGGCTCGGGTGGCAGCAGTCAGACGAAGCCATGGACCGACTTCGTGCTGAAGCATGAACGCAGCGTCAAGGCACGCCGGGAGCCGGAGCCGTCGACGCCGACATCGACCCTGGCCGGACCTCCGCCCCCGCGCAAAGACGCCCCTCCGCCTCCGCCGTCCTCCGCCTCGCGCGTTCCGGGTCCGCCCGCCTCGTCGCGGCCTCGTCACCGCCACACGCAGTCCCAGCCCGACGTTCGCAGCGCGGATGCTCGGCGCAACAAGGCTCGCTCCTTGATGTTTTAACCTTCTCTTTTCCATTCTCCTTGCAACGTTGATGTACAACTTGTCCGGTTTTCCCGCGTTGTCTCTTCTATGTCTGTTCTTTTTTTGTTCCTTGATCTCTCTTGCGCATCCACAGCACGTTCTTCTCTGTCTCTTTCTCTTTCCTTTTCTTCATCGTCTCTAGCCCTGCCGTTGATTGTCCTTTGGAATTCTGTCGTACATTAATGATACATAGCGCCTTTTCTCTTTCATTCCCGAGTTCATAATTCCATTGTTTTCTTGTTTACTAGTCTTCCTCTAGACCTTGTATTAACCCGTCGTCTAAGGCCAGGCGTTCAGAGTGTAGCACTGCTAAGTAGGACTGTCTCGTTTGAGATCTAAGCTAGTCTAGAATGGAAGTAGCTCATCGAGATTATTCTTGTAGAGGCGTTGGATTCATTCTTGGCCTGGGTTGCTCAGTTTTTGTGCCTATATAGTTCTTTATACTATGCCTGGCTGAAAATTTGGGGCAAATGCTGCTGCTATTTGGGTGTATATATGCACAAATGCATCTATGTTTAAATGAATCGATGAATAACCCGATCTATTCCCTCTTGTTTCGTTTACGGAAGATGTAGGCAAATAGGGACGTACTTACCAGTGTCGTATGTACCTAGGTAGGTAGTAATCAGATGTATTTGTGTTTGACGGGCCTGGCTGTGTTCTCGAATCGATTTTGTTTATTTCTGGTGGTGGTGGTTGTCCTGGAAACAGACGGAGAACTAACTATGCTATTCTTATCTGCTTACTATAGAGTAATTTCAAGGGACTCTATTACACGGGAGTTTAGGTAGCTTGGGGTGGTTAGGGAGAGTTCGTAGCGAGATAGATAGGTAGGCGAGTACGTTGGTGGATAGATAACAGACGATTAATCCAAGGTGAACTGGATGATGATGGCCAGAACTACGAGAGAACCTACAAGGACATATATCCTCCGAAGATCGGAAAAATGTAGAGAAAAGAAAAGTTAAATCAAATCCATAAGTCAATCGATCAATCAATCTGATCAAACTAGGCATGCAAAAACTCATTCACCACCTCAGCAAAGGCACTCGGCTGCTCGACCATTGGCAAATGTCCCGCCTTGGGAATGACCTTCAGCTCCGCGTCGCCCTTCAAGTCCTTGGCCATCTGCTGCATCGTCTGCGGCAGGACGCCGTCGCCTTCTCCGGCCACGAAGAGACCCGGGACCTGGGCCTCGGCCATGCGGCCGCGCACGTCATATGCGCACAGCGCCTGCATGGCGGTGCGGAAGCCGTGCAGGCTGTTGGTGCGGACGATTTCCTTGACGCGGGCCGGCACCGCGGGCTGCGTGGTGTATGACTCCGGGACGAACCAGCGCCGCGTGGTGGCTTCGGCCAGCTGTTCGCCGATGATCGGTTCCCCTGTGGTAGACGACACGGCGCGGTCGCTTTCGGCCAGCGCGGCGCGGTCATTCCACGCTTTGCGGTTGGATTCCGGCGCCGCGCTGTTGGTGTCGCAGGCGATGAATCGCGTGATGCGGGAGGGGTGGAGCAGGGCGGTGTTGAGCACCGTCACGCCGCCGAGACTCACGCCGATAAGCGTGGCGGTGGGGATGCGCAGGGCGTCGAGGAGCGCAATGATGTCCGACGCGAGGAGGTCGATGTTTACGGGAGCCGTGCCACATTCCTGGAGACGGCCCCGCGTGAGGTAGCGGAGGATGCGGAAGGACTGGTTCTTGGGGTTGGCAAAGAAGGCGTCCACGAAGCCGTCCCAGATGGTGTAGTCGACCAGGATCGAGTTGCTGAGCACGATCACCGGGCTCTGCGGGTCCGTGCTTCCTTCGAGACGGTAGGGAAGGTCTACGCCGTCTGGGGTGGTGACGAAAGACTCAACGGCGGGGCGCGAGGTTGACGGCAATGTGCGCGTGCGACCGTCGTTGGAGGCCCAGGGTCCGGCCACGTCGGGGGAGGCGAGAGACGAGAGCTCGCGAGGCGCCGGGCCGAAGGTGTAGGTCCATTGATACACGCGGCGTTTCTTGTCGGTCACCGCCTCGCTCATGAGGCGATGGTGCCAGGGGGTATCCATGCTGGCCTTATGTTCAGGCCCTCCAAGTCCATTAGATGCGCTGTACTCGTGTAGGGCCAGGAATTCTCGGGGGGCGTTGGGATCGATGGTGGCGGTGACGAAGCGACGGGTGCGTCGCCAGCCGGGCACGCGGGCCAGCATGGGGATGTGCTCTTCGCGGTACCAGCGGTTCAGCTCGTCCTCTTTGGCGGCGTCGGCGGGTACCGTCAGCGAGACGGCGACGAGGACGGAGCCGGCGGACGAGGAATCGGGTTGGTTTTCGAGAGGCTGATAGTCGGAGACTTTTTGATCGTCGAGGAGGTCGTATAGTCGACGATCGACGGCGATCTGGGCCATGGTGGCTTTCTCGCGCGGGGTCTTGATGCCGTCCCCGCGGAGAGCCAGGTAGGTCTCGCGGGTCAGCTCAACCATGTCTGTGATATCATAGAGTGCCACCCATTCGGGCTCCAGGCCATCGGTGGCTCGATAACGGAAGCCATTGTTAACGAATGGCAGGCGCAAGCGCAAGGGACCGTGTTCGGAGTTGTACCAATCGTGGAACTGGGCCGCGGGAAGCGAATCGCGGGGGTGCATCGTCACGTAGAGAAGGCCGGGGGTCGCCATGATGTTTCGTTCTGCCTAGTAGACAATGTAGGAAGTTTCGTTCAGACAGGAACAGTAGAGCCTGGATCGAGTCTGGGAAGACGAGGAAGGGATTAATCAAGTAACTACGATAACGAGAGATCGTCCTGGTGGTTGCACTTCCCCGGATCAGTTCAAGGCCGACGAACTGCCGACAACATAGCCGATGTGTGGGCGGGTGAAGTCATCGCCATCAAAGTCGGGAAATGCTTATCTGGAGCATACCCGCAGAGAGGATGATCACGTGAAGGAGAAAGACACCGCGCGTAGTGGAATCCGATGTATAAGAGGGAGAAGAGGAAAAAGCGAAGGGTAGCAACGCTGGCAGAGAGAAGAGGGGAACTGGCGGGGCATCAGCTTTGCTTAGTCATCCCATACAAGTCTGATCTAACTAGTTAACTAGTTAGTTAACTATAACTATGCATCCCGAGCATTCCTAGAGAGACAAGGAGCGTCAAATGAGCTATTAGGTAGGTTCTGCCAGTATAAAAAAATACCGGCACATATCATTTACAGCGAATCCAATAATCCACCAGAGGAACGTGTGTTAGTGCAGTAACTGAGCTCGCTGTATCAGATTGCAAAGATTTGCCCTGGAGTACGCGAAGAGTCATGTCGTCGCATACTGAGTATCCGGAGGGAGCGGGAGTTCCGAATCAAGAGGGGGCGCCTATCTCCAAACTTCCAGTTGAGCTCCTGTTGATGTGCGCCGATTACATGGATCGCATACCTACCAGCCGATTCTCTCGCACTTGCAAGGGCTTCACCATGGTCTTGAGAGACATTCTCAAGGAGAAAGCACGGGAGTTTGCTTGGTCTCTAACAGATCCAGAGCGTGAAAAACAAATACAAAAAACAACTATTTATTATGATGCTGGGTTTCTGGAAGCCGGAGTGAGTCCCCACTTGACCAGCCCCAATAGGATGCCGATGCTCTAGTTGGCAATAGGTTGGAATCAGGTAGACGCCGCCGAGATGTTGCTCGAGTATGGTGCTGACCCATGCGGTGGGAGCCACCGTGATTGCACAACCCCGCTTCATGAAGCAGCTCGCGGTCAGGGCCCCAAAAATTGTATGATCGAACCACTGCTTAAAGCAGGAGCTAAGGCTCAGGATATCGGTCTTTTTAGATGGCTTTTTGAGCACAAGAACTTCGTGAAAAACCTGGAGCAGGCCCTGATGAGTGGTTCCGACTTCATCCATATTTTCACTGTGTTATCCGACCTATCAGTTCTTTGCGCTCTTTCGGAGTACAAAGTCGACTTGCTCACCGTGCGCTTAGATGATATGATCCTAGAAAAGTGGCCGGACCTTTTCAATCACTGCGATAGGGTAGACGGGACAGTCCTCTAGGACCTTCTGAATAACCGCATATGGCCGAGGAACGCCATTTACTTCCTCGACTGAGGAAGTGACCTACGTGGCGGAGAGCTACAAGCCGCGATTCGACTTTTACAAGGGAGCGCATACGCCGCACAACATGGACAAGTACGGTTCATCAAGTGGCTTCTGCTAGAGGGAGTCAGCCTAGATGAAACCTCTGGAACTTTGCCACACGAGGAAGTCCCAAGCCTAATAATGGAAGCGGCAAGGTGGGAACATGACCAGGTAGTCAAGCTCCTCCTAAACTCAGGGGCCATGGCCGAAACCCAGAGGAATAGCGCCCTGCTCGAAGCTGTTCGACGCCAAAAATATGAAGTGGTCAAAACATTGTTGAAAGACGGTGTGGAAGCCAATCCTACCACAGCGGAGCACCAGACCCCTCTCCATGCTGCCATAGAGCATTCAAGCGATGACGTTGCGCGAATTCTGCTCCAGCATGATGCGGATCCTTCCAAGCGCGACAAGTATGACCGAAATGCACTCCATCTATGGCAGAGTACGGGAAACTTCACCTCATTTAACGTTTGGAGAAGATCGATCATTTAATCAATGAGAAGGATTGCTTTGGGAAGACTCCCCTCCATGCGGCCGTTCTTTACAAGCACCTGGATGTGGCCGAACTTCTCTTCAGACGAGGCGCAGACCCTCACATCCTTGACGGTTACGGAAGAAGTAGTCTCGACTGGCTTCGTGCTGATCATCAAAACTTACACGACATATTCAAGAATATCTGTACTTCACATACTCCCACTCCCCAGGATTTCCAAGCGATTCTCTTGAAAGCGACTGTGTATGACTTGTCTGAGAGGATCTTGCGTTCGGAAGTCGAGCAAGGACTCTATTTACTTCCATGTATTGGGCCACTGCCTGATGTTTTTACAAGATCTAGACGGAACTCTCATGAGTTTCCAGCAACAAATATCGGCACCGAACGAAGACGGGCCTGTATATCACGAAGTGGCCTGTAGCATTCAGCATCTCGAAAGGATCGAGGTCCTCGTTTTGTTTGCACTTCTTGCCCAGACGTTGATTTATGCATCGGGTGCATGGAAAATTACGGCTGCGCAGAGTACTTCGATGTGTGTGAAAAGCACACGTTCCTCAAGGTTAATGTGGCAATCAAGCAAGCCGGCCCCCCGGTATCCACTGTTAGGTGATGTTCAAAAATGGCTGGAGGGTTTGATCGTACGGTATAGAAAACACGTGCAGTATACAGGATAGATGCAGCGACAAAATTGATCAAGAACTTTATGAAAAGTCAATAATTCTCATAGTAATCTATGCATAGTAGAAAGATCCCTATTTAGATATTTCGTAGTATGATTCTATAATTAATTTACTTAAATCCTTTTCTTCCGCAAAGCTATGCCTCAGGCACCGATTCGATGAAGTGGCAGAAAGGTCACACCGCCACTTTATCAGGTTAGAATCGGAGTAGGACGAAAAAAAGAGGAGAAGGGAAAAAAAAAACCGCCCAAAGCGGAGATTGACTATGCCCCCGTCCGTCTTCTTGCGTCGATATTCGGCTGGTATTCGCAGCTCTGGCAAGCATAGAATCTTTTCAGGTCAAAATTGTCGCCGTCCATCGATATTTGCTGCGCATTTGCAACGACACATCCCGTCCTGTCGTCAGTATTGGCAACGAGGCCCACGGTCACCATGGACAATAACGAAGGAAGAGCTGGAGGATCCGGAGAAGCTGATCGAAAGCCTAAGAAGAGGAATATGGGAAGGGCAGAGTGGAGGTATATTGATGCAGTATAATTCAAGTGCGACCGTCTGGAGCTAACCAAGCAAGCCGGCAAACAATAGACAAGAGAGCGCGAAACGAACAGCAGGTCGAAGCTAAACGACGAAAAATCGAGAATGGGGAGGACGTTAAAACCCCGGTTTATGCCACCCATTTCTCTCAGGAAGATATCGACAATGAGCAACGCCGCCCGAAGAAGAAGGTTGCCGTGCTATTGGGGTACTCCGGGACTGGCTACAAGGGCATGCAATTGTATGGATCTCGCCCGTTCCTTCTTATCATCCTCTCAATTGTATCGCGACTGACATGTTCCCGTTTGTTTCCAGGAGCGACACCGAGAAAACCATCGAAGGAGAGCTTTTCGCCGCCTTTGTGGCTGCCGGGGCTATCTCCAAAGCGAATGCGGCGGACCCGAAGAAATCGTCATTGGTTCGATGCGCGCGCACAGACAAGGGCGTCCATGCTGCCGGTAACATCGTCTCGTTGAAGATGATTCTGGAGGGTCCGGCGACGGTCCACAAAATCAACGAGCAGCTTAGCCCGCAGATTCGCATCTGGGACATTGTAGTTGCGAACAAATCGTTCAGCAGTTATCAAATGTGCGACTCCCGAATTTACGAATATCTCATCCCGTCCTATTGCTTCCTGCCGCCACATCCCAGTACCTACCTCGGAAAGAAGGTATCGGAGATCGCCGAGAAACACGGAGATCTGGAGGGATTGGCCACCCGCCAGGCGGAAGTGGCGGACTACTGGGCTGAGACCGATGAGAAGCACGTTCGGCCCATTCTTGAAAAGGTCAAGGAGGACATTCGTAAACTCGTGCAAAAGGCGCTTTATTTTGACGAAGAAAAATCTGCCGAGGCCCAGTCAGTTGATAAGGATGTTACGCAGTCGACCGGGCCACCTGAGAATAACACCAACACCGAGGTGTCTACAGCAACAGAAAACCAAGACGAGCAGGGCCAAAACATGGAACTTGACGAGGCCCAGGAAGCTCAGAGAAAAGAAATCTATGAGACTGTCAAGGCTGTCAAGGCAGCATATAACACAGCCAAGCGAGCTTATCGCATTCCTGCCGCTCGTTTGGCCCGCATACAAGAAAGCTTGGACAAATATGTCGGCACAAGGAATTTCTACAATTACACCATCCAAAAGATGCACAGCGACCCGTCCGCCAAACGTCACATCAAATCATTCAAGGTCGACTCCAACCCTGTCATAATCAACGGCACCGAATGGCTCAGCTTGAAGGTACACGGTCAAAGCTTCATGATGCATCAGATCCGCAAAATGGTCGCCATGGTCGCCTTGATTGTACGATGCGGCTGTGATCCTCAACGCATCGTGGATAGCTATGGCCCAACGAAGATCGCGATTCCCAAAGCCCCTGGTCTGGGTCTTCTACTAGAACGTCCGGTTTTTGACGCGTATAATAAAAAGGCCAGTGACACCAACAAACAGCACATCAACTTCGACAACTATGCGAAGGAAATTGGCGAGTTCAAGCAGCGCGAGATCTATGACCGAATCTTCCGTGAGGAGGAAGAGTCTAATGCGTAAGTTGAGGCTACTCGAATCTGTTCCCGTCTAGACCTGGCTAACCCTTTTCATAGCTTCTCGTCTTTCTTCAATCATGTCGATCACTTCCCTCAAGAAGAATTTCTCTACATTACATCCGGTGGCATTACGGCCGCGAAGCCTATACAGCAGGGCTCAGCTGAAGTTCGCAGAGAGGATGATCAAACTGGTCGCAAATCCCAACGGGAAGCTTTGGCTATAGTCGAAGCGGATTCTGATAATGAGGCCAACATTCCGGACGGCGGTGAGGAGGGAGGTTAATCTTCTGTCCCGAGTTTGTAAATAGAAAATTGATTTATTCGCATGTTTGCGAAGCCGCCGGGCTGGACATCTCTCCACCTGTGGATTTTATCTATCAAATACTTGCCTCCATAACGGCCAGTATAATCGATGCAGAGTACATGGCCTAAGCTTTCGTATTAGACAATGTAGAAATATTGGATGCCAGGGGTAGGCTGCCGAAGTGGTCAAAAATGATTGATTGAATTGCTTGAATAAAGGAATGACTGCTGAATCAACTAACTAGGGATCAAGATAGGCCGGCCCACTTATCTTCATATTCACATGATCTTCATGACCGTATCATAGAATCTTCCGCTTCATTCATGGAATCCTCCGCTTCGTATAAAGATCTTCGGAAATTGCCTTTCGCGAAGGTTTGGCGGATTGTCTGAGGCATCTGGATCTTCCACAGACAACATATAAACTTTTCACCCAAATCTCTAGCATATTTAGTTGACGCCTCCCACAGCCCTCCCCCCGCAAAGCTTGGCATGAGGATGTGAATTATATAAGCCGCTATCCTCAGGCAACAACATTCCGCAGGCTGACGTCACCGCACACCATCTTTATTTACCTACTGCGTACTCCGGACTCGCTTTCTACTTCTCTACTTGCCTAATCCTTCCCCGTCTCGACAGTCAACTTTGAATCGACTATTTTTCGTCCACTTCATCATGCCCGGACATTTCGGTCAGAAAATTCTCAAAACATTCGGCTTGGACGAGCAGCAACACCAGCATCCTCCTCAATCGGCCCCTCACCCTCAACATCAGGAGTATCGTTTGTCTGGCAATCGAGTCATCAACAACGATGAGCGCATTATATCCCCTCATCCGCGTGGGACGTATCCCCGTCTTGCCCGTCTGAGTGACGGGTCGATCTTGGGATCCTTTACTCGTTTCGAAGGCAAGCGGCGGATTCTCTGCGTTTCGAAGAGCGTTGATGGCGGTCGGACATTTCAGGATATCGGGGAAGTCACGCAGGGTGAAGGAGACGTTGACAATATGTTCCTATTGGAAGTGGCACCCTCAACCGTGTTGGCAGCGTTTCGGAATCACGACCGGGGGCCAGACGGCCCAACGCACTTCCGCATCACAGTTTGTCGTTCCACAGACGGCGGTCGACACTGGCAATTTGTATCGCAGGCCGCCGAAAAGCGCGCTCCCCTAGGAATTTGGGAGCCTTTCATGCGTATGGGTCAACAAGGCGAGGTGCAGTTGACCTACTCGCAGGAATTTGCGCATAACAACCAGTGCACCATGCTAGTGCGGTCATTCGATCAGGGAACGACGTGGTCTCCACCTCAATGCCTTCATGGCGAACAAGATATGTTCCGTGATGGCATGAATGGGATTGCCCCAACCTTTGACAACGGAAGGGAAGCCTTGGTTATGGTATTCGAGACGACCACCACTCGCACGTTTTGTCTGGAAGCTCTCATTTCCTACGACGACGGGTACACCTGGGGCTATCGGCATCGAGTGTACGAGCCTCCTCGTGGACATAATGCGGGATCTCCCCAAATTGCCTCGTTTGCCGATGGATCCTTGGCGGTGATCTTTATGACCGACGAGGACTCAGCCCAAGTTCAGTGGACCAAGCACGCTGCCATTAAGGTGGTCTTTGCGGGACCCCCACAAAACGGCCAGATCACCTGGACTCGTCCGACTGTCATCTGCCCGCATGCCAGTCACTGGCCGGGGATTATGGCTCTGGATCATCATAACCTGCTGGCTACTTATGAGTGTGGCGGTGCTCCTCGTGCTAAAAGCATTACACTGCACAGGTGACCGAGCGCTCGCGTATGAATTCAACAATTTATTTTTAGTTTGCAACACAATTTACTCTCAATGTCTTTGATATCTCTCGCTGCATTATAAGTTTATAAGTTCCTTTCGTAAAACTGGAAGCGCCCTAGCCATGAGATTTCTGACCGTGGAAGCAAACTCTCGAATCAACGGCCTAGTTGGGCCACCAACTCATCCACACTCTTCATCTCGCGTCCGTTATTCTCTCCGACATCGAGAGCCACCAACACGCGACTCACGCAATTATAACCCGCGATACCTGTCGTCAATTCAACGATCTCTCGATCCGAAAACCCCTCGTCCCGCAAATGCGCAAACGTGGCGTCCTGCACCCGCACCGTCTGAGTCATCTCATCTGCGTACTGAATGATAGCACGCTGCCGCGTAGTCAACGAACTCTGTCCCAGGGACTCAATACTAGCGGCCAGCTCTTCTGGCGTGCCGACAGCCACCGAAGACAGCGTACGCACGGCTTGCAGTTCCTCGGGACGGATCCCTCCGCGTAGAGCGAGCGGGGCGTGGGCGTTCCATTCGTAAACAGCATTAGTGAGAACCGCCACGCGACACACAGCCAGCTCCAGCAACCCTTGATCAATGATCGTACGCGAGCGAATGGCACCGAGGAAGCTGTTCCAGCCGTCCGCGACGGGTGGTGAATGCAGGAGCGACAAATCGAGGGGAATGAGCGGGCGGGGATGGCGGCGGGCGGCAATGCGGGCGTAAATATCGGCCGTGTCCGGGTCCGGAGAGGCAGGTTCGGCGGGGGCGTATGGAAGACGCATTTTCAGTCCGGGGCTTTGAGTTGAGAATCGCGGGAGGGAGAAAGTCGGAGATTTGAGTAACGCTGTTCGAGTGCCGCTATATATGTTCAGGGTCTCGATTCTCTGGCTTCCCCGTACCGTCCACGGCGGCATCGTTGTTCGTGGTTGGACTATGCTTTTATCCGGGCGGGACAAGTCGGGATCGGGGGATCCCAAGTTATTAAGTGCTAACTACATGGTAACTAGCTAGTTAGTTGCTTACCCTGCTGACTAACGACTGTCGCTTCAATATCAATGTAGGATAGGACTAGTTACACTTTCTTTATCTGTCTATCTCCAGACACCGGTGAATAACTTCATTTTCAGCCTCGTAGACACGAGGCTACTGCGGGTGTTGAGCCTTGAACCGTTTCCCGATGGATCATCTCGACGACTGACGTCATCCCAGCACACGGCAGGTGCCATCTGCCGAGGGCATCTGCCGTCTCCAGTCTCCCCACCGCCAGCTTCCCTTCATAGTAGTTCTGTCTTTGCAGTACGGAGTACACCGTAGTGCTGGCGTTTGGACTTGCACTCTTTCATCGTATTTCCCTTATAGTTATCAAATTCCTTTCAAAGACTCAAGCCCATCATCCATTTCTTGCTCTGAACTGTTTGCACCTCATTTATCCCGTTGCATTGATCCTCTCTGGGTTCAATTGTGGAAAACATGGGGTGGTTTTGATATTTTGATTTTTTCCCCCTTTTCCAATCCTCCAGAGTTGCGCTCTACGTAGTACCTAATAAGGGGCCAATATCACTATTAATATCTCCATCTAATCGTCTAGAGATTAGCTTCATGAGTCGAAGGTAGAAAGATCCACTACCGAGGATATATCCAACGTACTAGTGTTAGGCAAGCATTTGATTTTTGGTCGTTTGCCTTTTTCATATCTAGTTTGTCTAAAGTCATTCATCTACAAACATGGTAGGGTACTTTGTATTTGTACACCAGAAAGCATATCAATCAACAACTGTATACACAATCAAACTTAAAAACAAATGTACCACACAGATCGTCAAAAAAATAATAACATTTGACGCTGTGCTTGGCAGTGGTCTATTTAAGCTTCTTAGTAAGGCTCCCGCTCTGAATTTTGCCGGACCAGATTGAGTACACAGAAGAGTTAGAATTGATGGAACGGAGGGCAAGAATGCATCAAATAAATAGTAAAAGTCTGTAAATCAGAACTACTTAATAATTACTTAGAAATTACTTGGAAAGTATGTAGATAGAAGTAAATGTTAAAGGTCTGTAAAGGTCAGATGCCGGGTATTTAAAACTATGTATTGTTACTGCCAAAAGCCGGAAAATAGGGTCATGTGATCTACTAGCGCGGCGGATGAGCCCTACGAAGGTGCCATCCGACCTGTAACCTGGACCGGACCGGATTGGTCCTAAAGTGCCACATGGCACCGTAGCCGCAGGCTTGCAGATCATTTTCCTTCAACAACCAATCTCATCGTGAAGATCAACACGGGAAAACTAAATCCTCAAGACTGGCTTAATGATGCACGATCCTGCAGGTCCATTAAAATGTAGTGTCTTTAGAGATTAATTTACAAGAGACAGGGCCGGTATAACAGGTCCTAGCGAAGATTATAGAAGTACAAATACGCAATAGTCCTAAGGACCAAGCCTACTGCATCTTTCCTCTTATTGACTCAGTAGTCTTTCTTATTATTATGTTAAGAAAAAAAGGTTCATATATTATCTAAGTCTAAAGCGCAAGATATGGGAAGCAGTCCTAGAAAACTTGAAACAAGAAAGAGAAGGATTCCACAGGAACTCATCTGAAACAGTCCGACATAGACCAACCAAGGATCTGCTCAAGCTTCAGGTCGGTCTGCACAAGGCCGAGTGCTCGGTATTAACACAGCTCCGGACAGGCAAGGTAGGACTGGCAGCCTTCCTACACTATGCAAAGGTAGCCCGAAATGTAATGGGGGAAAAGAAGACCCTAGGCACGTTATCACATTCTGCACGGTATATCATGAGGCTAGATACGATCTGGAAATACAAGGACGAATAGAGGTTGGGCAGCTGCTCACCACCCCTAAGGGGGTACAAAAGGTAACAAGGTGGTGGATACGGAAAGGAGTGGTCGACCAATTCCGGCTAGCGAATAGGTTGATCGAGGGTTGATGAGGCTGGTGCTAGCAAACGGGTTCTAGGGACATGTACGAAGAGCGAGAGATGCATTACCGAGGCGGAGGGGTTTTTCACCCGGTAGGGCCTTCGGCCCTACACGGTTTTCCCCCCTAGATAGCGAGATAGACCGGATGGCCATTGGTCCAACGGGGTAACAATATTATTATTATTATTATTATTATTATTATTATCTAAGTCTAAGATTCTGAATTTACGGTGCCCTCCTGAAAGAATAATAGTTTAGTCTACCAAGCCCCTTCTGGTCTTCTTTCGTGCCCAGTACTTGCTTGCAAACGAGGGGCATAGCAGTCACAATGTAACAAAGAATCTGTATTAATGTCATCGATAAATAGGGACAGGCAAACCAAAACGATCAAACCGATTGAATCAGTTTGCTTATAACTTGATGATACAGGTTTCTAACTAATGAAGGGGGAGAAGCTACTATTCCTGCGTGCTAGAAAGATCAAACTTCATCGAATATTCTCTTTGTCTAAAGAGCTCCGGAACTCTCTTTCAGCGACATGTTTGGTGGGTTGCCTTAAGATAGGTAGGCTTTCCACAGGTGCTCTGGACATAAAGCTACTGCTTTCATTTCCCCCTGCTCCTGTTTCTTTCCCCTGGCCACATTCAGCCTATCCCCTTCCAGCTAGCTTTCTTCCCGCTCAAAAAAAAAAAAAAAAAAAAAAAAAAAAAAAAAAAAAACCAAACAACACAAAAAAAAAAAAAAAAAAAAAAAAAAAATTAAAAAAAAACGGTTTGGTTTGTAT